AATAATAATGCCAAAGAGTTTGGCGATCGAGTTCATTAAAGCACGAGTTTTGAAGAGTAAGCTCATTTGGATATGAAACGGGATTAGGAATAGGATTTGGAGGTGGATTTGGAGGAGGGTGGGATCGGGAAGAACAGGTTCGTTTAGACATATTGGCAAAAACGGGATAGAAAAAACCTGCAAAAGGACACAATATATACACATATGCTAACATCAATTCCCAAAACTCAAAAGAGTCCAATATTCAAGGTAACAAAAAGTAAGTAAACTTGTGGGCTTGTTTAAGCGCATTTGATCTATACAAAGCCAAAATTTTGAACCTAAACCCAAAAGTACCCAAAAATTTGATTTTCATAAAAAATATCAAATCTAAATCAATTTCTTGTGGACTTTGTGTGAAAATCAAGCCTCATTCATCATTTCAACATTTCATAACATCTTTTTTGAAGGAATCATCACTTTTGGGTAAGAATTTTTCAGAATCTTAACTTTTTAATTTTTTTTTAAATTCAGTTAAATTGGGTTGAATTAGGTGGTTAGAGAATAATTTTTAAATTGTTTATCACTTATTTGATTGTAGGGAGATTTAACCATAACCCATTTTTGAAAAAATCCCAATTTTTTTTATCAAACACCCACAAGGTCTTCGATAAAAGTCCTTAACAAAAAACCACCCTCCTTAAACCATTCGACCATACATCATTTTTCACCCCAATTTCCAATTTTAATTCTTCCCAAAATCATTTTTAACATCTTTTAAACATATCTTTTGGCTCAAACTTAATTTTCATATATATTTTTTTTTAAATGCCTAAGAGAAAGTTTATGGCTTCAAAGGGACAATCCTCAATCGACTCTTGGATTGACCGACGTTTCAAAAGCGCAAAGCTCATGAGCGTTTTGACTCCTTTTTCACTCATCGACAATCAAAGAAGCCCAAAAAATTAACTTTAATTTTTTAAATGATTTGGGTTTTCCTTATGAGCAAAATTTGAAAGATATAAAACTTTATATTCTTTTAAACTTTCATGGCCCTACCTATCACACTTTGATTCGAGTTTTTTACTCGAATGCTTGTGTGTCATCCACTACTCATTCTGGCACCATCTATCGGACCATTGTTTCGTATCTTATGGGTCAGCCTGTTACCATCATTATTGACTTTATTGCTCAAACTTTCGACCTTCCTCTTATTGGTAATGATAATGAAAAAGGTCATTTTCCTCTCGAGATGCGTCTTAGAAACAATAAAGCTACCATTTTCTCCCTAAACGATCGTTTGTTGCATCTCATTGTCTCTCATTGAATCAGTGCTCGAGGCATAAAATTATCTACCGTTCGTGAGAGCGACTATTGGTGGATGTATTGCATCTAACAAAGTCGTGAGCTATGGACTCACAACGAACATCGGTTACTCGAAGAAGCCCGAGGGATCCATGCATTGGGTCTGTAGTCGTCACGACAAGCATATGGATGATGAGCATGAGAGAGCAGATCACGTAGACTCGGCACCTCCTGTAGATTTCTTCTGAGGATTTGAGGAGAGGATGCTTCAGTCATTTGATTCTCTTCGAGCCCATGTCGACTCCCGTTTTGATGTGATCGAGCGTCATTAGGATGCTCTTGAGGATCGTATGATCGAGGAAGTTTGAGTGATTCAACGTCAGCTTGACGAATTTTCCTTCCCTCCTTCATCATCATCTTAGTTTATGCATACATATCGTTTCATTTCATTATTGGATTTTAAGACTTTGCTACATTTATGTTATTTGGATCTTTGATGTTTATTTGGTATTTGGTACTTGAATGTTTTATTTGGTTGTTTGAATTTATGACTTTGGTATTTTATGCCTTGTATGGATTTATCTATTTATGTTAAAGTAACTTGATGCTTCATATATAATTCTCCATGTGTTTAATTATTTCAAGCTTTATTTTTTTTACTTTATCTCCTTGTTATATTGTTTCTAACATTGTGAATTATTTTTTATATAACAAAAAATGGGAGAAGTATGTGTAAAATGAAAAATATTTTTAATTAAAATTGGAGCTTAAAGTTTTTTTAATTCATAAATCCTTTTATTATTTTTCTAAGGGGGAGAATTTTTCAAAAACAAATTTTCAAAGAGTTGTTATATAAAAAAGGAAAAGATTGTTGAATTAAGATTTTGATATAACAATAATTTGAAAAATTAATTTTTGACTTAATGGAATTGATCAAAACTTTATCAAAAATAATTCAAAGTCCCTTAGAAAAAGAATCGATCCCTTAAAAAAAGAATCGATCCCTTTACAAAAAGGTTCGATCCCTTCACCAAAAGGATAGATCCTTCGATGAAAAGATTGGTCCCTTCCATTAAAGGATTGATTCATTTCTTACAATAGTCGAATTATTTGAAAAAATGATCGATCCCTTGTGCATTAAATGTTGTTTTATATTGTAGGTAACGGCTACAATGATACCCAAACGACTCTAAATGGCTAGAATGAATGGAGAAGGTATAAATTGAAGGTCAAAGCTTCCCAAGGTCAACAAGAAACATATTGAACCAACCTACCAACATCAAAGTTTTGTTTTGTGCTTATTTTGTTAAATTCTTCATTTTAATCACACTTGTGAGCTACGTTGTTTATTTTGCGCAAGTGTGTATTGGGTGAGTGCTTAAATTGTGCAAACATATTTGTCTTGTGAGGTTATCTCTTTGTTTGCTTCATTTGTATTTACTCTTTGGGAGAGTGTGTATTCAAGGTTTTGGGGTATACACCTTGAAGTGTTTGTAAGGTTACACATTGTCCTTAAAGGTAAGCAAATCTAGTGGATTTGAGAAACCCTTAGTGTGGATGTTAAAATAGTGGATGTAGACTTTGTTTGAGAAAGTCAAACCACTCTAAATCGGTGTACAAAAAGTTTAATTTTTCAATTGCTTCTACCAAATTCTTAAAAAGGCCAATTCACCCCCCTCTTGCCATTATTCGGCTGATCGATAAAGCTACCAAAGATAGACTTGTTGAAATCACCTACGTAAGTGTGAAGAACTTGCCAACTTCTATGAACGATATTGTGTTGTCTTTCTAGAGAACTGACTAGCATCCCGAGATATGTTGGCTAAATTGATTGATCTATCGCGAAACTTAATTGGATATGAGATTAGTCATGTGTCATAATTTTACTCCTATTTTAATAAGTTCAAAATTCGTTCACTTGTTAAGAGAAGAATTGCTTATTGCACTATGTATTAGTTCAAATCTAACAAATACTAGTGCTTAAGCAATTAATTTTGTTGTTGCTATTTTCTCGTTTTTAATAATCTTTTATTTATTTTGCATTAGTGGGGATTCTTGGATAATGCAAATAATTAAATAGAAAATAAATATATTTTAAAAAAAGATTTTTTCTATATTTAAAAGATACTGAAGAGTGGTTAAGATTTTATTATAAACACAATCATTCATGAATACAAATTTAAGCATCCCGGTGAGTAAATGGGGATGTCAGAGATTATTTGCCTTGTTCTGAACTTTCAACTACTTGATATCCTGCACATGTGCTAAACTTGGAGTTTTGAATTTCATTTTCTGCAGATTTATTTGACACAGAGAAATTATTAGATTCTATGGAGAACTTGAGGCATGAGGGAGCAGTAGATATTCCAAATTATGATTTCAAGAGTTATAAGGAAAAAAAGCTTTTCCAGCTATCACATTTTCCAAATTCAACATGTTACTCAATGAAGCCGGCTTTAATGCTATTGTAGTTGATCAATGAAAGAAATGTTTTCTATTATCGCTGATGTTTCTGCTTTTGCTTCTTTTCAGCTGATATTTATATGCAACTAATTTTTAATGAATGCAGTATTCAAAATTTGTGAAGCCTGCTTTCGATGACTTTATACTTCCAACAAAGAAGTATTCAAAACATGACTGTCTTTTATGCCGATGCCTTGTATTTTTCTTCAATGCAATAAAATGTTTCCCTTGGGTCTCTCACTCACGGAATACCTTATGCAGGTTGTTGAACATGGGCTGGGCTGGGACATCCGCCATTTGCAGAAAAGCAGGCATCAACTGGGCATGTATTTTATAGGTTATGAAAGCTCTGATTATTTTTTTTATCTTACATCGTTGTAAAGATTTGTTCTCCGTCATCATCTGGTTGAAATGTTATCTAGAATAGGGTTTTATGATAGGCTTGTTTTTGTTCTTATAAAAAAAGGTTCAAGTCATTAAGATTTTTAAGTATCTGGTGGTGTTCTTCACTTGAATAAGTTGGGTTTAGATATATCTTGGTCTATGATCATTTCACTTGATTCCCCAGGATCCTCGGGATGTACAAGTGATGTGCAAAAGCTTCCCAAGTGTAAAGATTGTGACATCTGAGATCGATATTGGTTTAAATGATTATTTCCGTGTTATCCTAAGTTCAGTGAGCGATATTTTGGAACCTTTGATGATAACCAGCAAGTGGTGCCCCCTTTGCAATTCTTCAATTCAGTATCTTCTCCCTGAGCTGGGGGTTTCAACTTGAGTATGCTTCTCGTCAGTTTTGACTTGGACCCATCTTTACATTTTCCTAAATCTAATCAAGATGTGAGAATCTTTCTTAACCATTAATAATTTATAAACTTCCACAATGGTAATTGTTTGAACCTTACACCTCAACATATACTCCACAATCAATTAAAAAGGCTACTACAGTGCGCTGATATTATATTTGTTGTTTATAATGTGAAGTACGGCCCGAGAGTTTGGACCAATTGTTAAGGATGTGGCTGAAATGGGGGAATTGAGTTTCCATCTCTCGATTCCCCCAACAAAACAACAGTTTCAAGGATAAGCAATTTGCGATACATTGTAAGGAGGGATAATAAGATGCCACTTGGGCACCAATCTGATCACTCATTACTTTATCCGACTATGATAATTTTCCATGGGTTCTTCTTTTGACACGTGTAACGTTCTTGATGCATCTCATGGAATCTCTTATATGCAGCATATTCCTTACCATCTCATCTATACATATAAGAGTGGTGCTCCTTTGGATTTGCTTTTGTAAGTTTCCTCGTATTACCCATTTATCTTCCTCTCCACCCTTAACCATGTCGGCTTTTGTTGGCAAGTATGCAGGTAAACTCTCCTCCACCTTTATCATCAATATATTTATATTAAAAATATTGTTTTCATTGGATGATCATTGCATATATTCATGTTGAAGAAGATGTCAACTTTCATTGAACTGCATGCACGATAACTACGTAGGAACCTATCTGCTTTGTAAAATGCATGTTCATGTGTTCATTACAGATACTATGTAATGCATGAATTCATTGATACTAGCCTTGGACTAAAATGCATCAACTTTTTTTTCTGCAGACGAGTTGATCAAGAACGCCAAGTACATCGCCACCCCAGGCAAGGGTATTTTGGCGGCCGACGAGAGTACCGGCACCATTGGAAAGCGTCTCTCGAGTATCAACGTCGAAAACATCGAATCCAACCGCCAAGCCCTCCGGGAGCTCCTTTTCACCTCTCCGAACGCCTTGACGTACCTATCCGGCGTCATCCTTTTCGAGGAAACGCTTTACCAAAAGACATCTGATGGGAAACCCTTCGTTGAGGTCCTTGAAGAAAACAACGTCATTCCGGGTATCAAGGTCGATAAGGGCACCGTCGAGATAGCCGGCACCAATGGCGAGACCACGACTCAAGGGTTCGACTCCTTGGGCGCGCGGTGCCAGCAATATTATAAAGCTGGTGCGCGTTTTGCCAAGTGGCGGTCGGTGCTCAAGATCGGTCCCAACGAGCCTTCTGAGTTGTCGATACAGCAGAACGCGCATGGGTTGGCTCGTTACTCCATCATTTGTCAAGAAAATGGGCTGGTCCCCATTGTGGAGCCTGAGGTGCTTACCGATGGCCCTCATGATATTCAGAAATGCGCCGCCGTCACTGAAACCGTGATTGCGGCGGTTTACAAAGCGCTGAATGAGCACCATGTTTTACTTGAGGGCACTCTCTTGAAACCTAATATGGCCACTCCAGGTTCTGACAGCCCAAAGGTAAACCATATATTATCACCTACGATCAGTGATCTTATATCTTCATGATGGCTGAAAAAACACTTGTATTGATCTGCACAGGTTGCAGCGGAGGTGATTGCGCAATACACGGTGACCGCACTTCGTCGATCCGTCCCGCCGGCAGTGCCGGGGATCGTGTTTTTATCAGGCGGACAAAGCGAGGAAGAAGCAACGATTAATCTGGACGCGATGAACAAACTGGACGTGTTGAAGCCATGGACGTTGTCGTTCTCGTTCGGACGAGCCCTGCAACAGAGCACGCTCAAGACATGGGCAGGGAAGAAGGAGAACGTTGCGAAAGCGCAGGAAGCATTTTTGTCGAGGTGCAAAGCGAATTCGGAGGCCACGCTCGGAAAGTACGGCGGAGGAAGTGCCGGTGGATTGGCTTCGGAAAGTTTGTTTGTTAAGGGTTACAAGTATTAAAGCATTTATATATGTATGTGTTGGTTTGAGAATAATGCACGGCTAATCATCTAATTTATCTGTTGTGCTCATTTCATTGCTTCAAATATTCTTGTATAATGTTTATATTAATAATAGAAAAAGAGGCAAAAAGCCTTTGCTACTTAATGCATTAAACGAGATGATTCACAGTGACCAACACTAACAGCTACTGAATTAACTACAGATACCATTAAAGAAACTAATCTTTGAATCGTGAAGTCGAAATGCTCATAAAACTTAATTGATTTGCCCTTTGATCTTCTGCATTCAATACGCTAAAAGTAAACGAAACTGAATGTTTATATTAATAATAGAAAAGAGGCAAAAAGCCTTTGCTACTTAATGCATTAAACGAGATGATTCACAGTGACCAACACTAACAGCTACTGAATTAACTACAGATACCATTAAAGAAACTAATCTTTGAATCGTGAAGTCGAAATGCTCATAAAACTTAATTGATTTGCCCTTTGATCTTCTGCATTCAATACGCTAAAAGTAAACGAAACTGAATGTTTATATTAATAATAGAAAAAGAGGCAAAAAGCCTTTGCTACTTAATGCATTAAACGAGATGATTCACAGTGACCAACACTAACAGCTACTTAATTAACTACAGATACCATTAAAGAAACTAATCTTTGAATCGTGAAGTCGAAATGCTCATAAAACTTAATTGATTTGCCCTTTGATCTTCTGCATTCAATACGCTAAAAGTAAACGAAACTGAAGCATCGGATTAACAAAATGATTCTTCGGAAACATGAATCTCGAAAAACTATAAAATGTTGGAGTTGAATGCATGTTTTAGTGGAAGATATTGAAAAGCCAGGCCTGTAATTCTTATAAAATGCAGTCAAAAAGGAAGGCAGTATTAAGGAAAATTGCATGTCATGGAATCAATTATGGAATTGCAGAGTCTAGAGACTAATAAAGAAAAACGGATAATGCATTACAGCAGCAGCCATAAGATACTGCTGGTTGGAGAGGGTGATTTCTCTTTCGCCGCTTGCTTAGCAAGATTTCTAGGTCCCATGGTCAACCTGGTCGCCACATCTCTTGATTCTAAAGGTTTATGTTTTATATCTTGTCAACTTCGAAATTTGTTTTATGTATTCAAAAAAGTTTAAAGGAGAGAACTTTGGTTCGAAACTATGAGACACATTCCCACATTAAAGGATGAAAAAAATGGGTTTTTTTGTGGAGTTTTCGATGATATCTTACAATTGTGGGATCAGAATTTTTACTGCTTTCCAAAGTTTGATTATTTACTGATTTTATCATATTGAGTCTGTGACTTTAGAGACGTTGAGGAAAAAGTACAATGGAGCGATGTCAAACTTAAAAGCACTCAAAGAACTTGGATGTACCAGCATCCATGGTGTAGATTGCTGCAGTATGAAACAACACATTGCCCTCCGTTTAGACTTCTTTGATCGGATTGTCTACAATTTTCCTCATTCTGGATTCCACGGCTGTCGTGAAGATACAAATTTTGTTATCGAGTAAGTTCTGATCAACCTACATCATATATACATATACATTATACATACTTTTAATGAAGGGTACTAAAAGAAATAAAGTAATGGTGTTTTTATACAGGTTCCATAAGAGAGTGGTGAGGGGCTTCTTGAGGAACGCGGTTCAGATGCTGACAATGAATGGAGAAGTTCATATAACTCATAAAACTTCACACCCATTCAATATGTGGCGAATTGAGGAGCTTGCCAATGAAGCTGGATTACGGTTGGTTGAACAAGTGCCGTTTTCGTTGTGGTGTTATCCCGGCTATCAGAACAAGAGAGGAGATGGAAATAAACCAGATGAGAGCTTCCCTGTTGGAGCTTGCAGTACTTTCAAGTTTAAGAAAATGATCTAGTTGATATTTGCAACTTTTAAGAGGTTTCCTGTCATTGAACTTTCAGTTCAATCTAAATAACATGGATGAAATGATGTTTGCTTGTTTATAAAGCTTAAAACAATCTCAGATTAATGATTAAAACAGTGATCTTAAATACCAAAATCTTTCAAGTGCAATACTCTACGATATTGGACAAATAATTCATTTGGATGAGGGAAAATGCACTATCATAAGGGATAATGGAAGACATTGATTTTATATTTACATGTCGGATGTTCGATTCACATCTCCTTTTGAGCAATGATTCTTCAGAAGTGTGCAATCTCAACATCCCAAATCCACTGGCTTTATCCTCTCCAGACTCTATTGAAACAACTCGACCAATCTGAGTTGGGTCGTCCATGTAATAGTTCACCAAATCTCCATCATTATCCTTATATTTGATCAAAACTGACCTGGATGAAGGAAAACGTTCGCTCACAATCTCTCTCGACACTTCGAAGCTGCAATTAACCGGCATTTGGGAAAGCCTTATGTCATGATCATATGCAAGTTTCAATGACTTCCATTGACTTGCCACTGGAACCTGCTCACGCATAGACGTAACAAAAGACTGTTTTCTCTGGCCAACCTATTCAGATTATTAGTTGCATTCGAAGAACCACTCCAAGGCTTCAGCACAAGTTTTGGCAATTGTTCCTGGAACCAGTTTCGGCTTCTCCTACCGTTATTTTGATTCTTATCTAGCTTATTATTTGGTGGTACAACCAATCCTCGAGGAGGTGATACCCATGCCTTCTTAGGCGACTGGCCAAGCAGGTAAGCAAGGTCCAAGGCCAGCAATCGGGGCACCACGAACAGCAGAAGCCACTGGACCCTCCAGGCAAGGACCCAATGCAGTCGTTAATCTCCGAGCAATCTCCAAAGCATCCTTGTTATTTGGTTTAGCCCCCAAATGAAGTTGAACATCCTGCAACGCCATTTCATGCTTTCAACTCGGTCCCTTCGAAGAAGAGGGTGAACCTAAATTGCCATATTACACTCAGCAATAATAGCATTATAATCAATGGGTTTCATTTGCATCAAACAAGCGGCTCTATTGCTGTGAAATACAGCTCTGTCAGGGTGGTCTTAGGGATAAGCTTAAGAGCATTAGTATAATGTTGAAGAGTAGCCACATTGCCTTCTTCTCTGAGCTCATTGGCTCTTTTCAAAAACTGGAATTATTTTCAACACCACCCTTGACATGTGGAATTGTATTGCTGGAATAATTTTCAACTGAAACCTGGTTTGAATTTGAACCACCCTTCTTTTTCCTACCCCCTGAATTCCCCACAAACTGACCAAAAAAATCAAACTTTTTTTATTCCCTCTTTCTATCAAGGATCATAGACTCGAGAATTATATTCTTATAATCTTTTTGAACTAGGCTTTGAGCTTATTAGAAACTTGGGGTTCAGAGATAGAAACAGAGCAAGAGCGAAGGAAATGGTACTTACAGAAAAACACATAATAAAGTTAAGGTATTGATGAAATTTGATTAATTTCTATTTTTACTTCTAGTATAACTTGGACATCGATGAAATGAGTGTTTCCAGTTTTCTTTAGGATTGCAACAATTTTCCAAATGTGTATAAAAAGTTCAAATCAAACGGATAATCAAGTAAAATTTCACTGTGTTACAAGTTTGTCACTGAGTGAAAAAAAAATAATGAAAAATGAAAGGCAATGTCAGCCTCCAAAGAGAATCCCAGCAGCCTGTTCTTCGTTGCCATCGCATAATTTCAGAGCTTGTATACCATTTCTCTTGGAAACCCCAACTCAACAAGTTTTGCAACTTTGGCTTCAAAATCAGGTTTCTGCAGAGAAACAAAGCTATCTCAGATTTACAGTAGCGATCGAACTTGAAGATTAAACTTTTTTTTTTATAAGTGTAGACACCATTTTTTTTAAAAGATATAACTAACAAGAGTTTATTTCTTAAGAGTATTCTTTCATTACCATATCTTTTAAAGCAACAACCACACCAACAAACATACAACAACCAAGCAAGGAGTCTAGTTGCATTAGAATTTTATTGTTAATAGGATTCTAAAAATAGTTAATTTTTTTCACTATAAATACATGTAATCCTCCCCATTTATAGCACACGATTTACATACAAAATACATAGGAAAACAAGAAAAATACAAAGGCAAAGCTATTGTAAACGATTCGAAAAGGAAATAAAATGTAGTATCTTTTTTTACTTTTGATTCTCTCTCTTACATTTACGTTTTAATTATTATTATTTTATTTATTTAACTTTTTTATACGCACATTTCCCTTGTTACTCATTTTATTTAATTGTTTTGTTATTTTTTTTCATGTAATATTTTTTTATATTTTATGCATTTTCTTTTTTAATTTAATATATATTTTTATTTTTTAGATTATATATATATATATATTATTTTCTTATTATCAGTTTTATTAATTTATATATATATATATATATATATATTACTATTTTTTATTTTTTATTTATTATATATATATATTATTTATTTTATTATTATTATTATTTGTTTTATTTATATATTTTTTTTCTTTATTTTTTTATATTTATTTTACTTACTATTTTATCTTTACTTTCTTTATCTTATCTTTTATTTAATTTGTTTTTTCTTCATTTTAATTTAATTTATTTATTTATTTCTTACCTTTTTATCTAACATGATTTTTGACCTTCTTAAGACCACACATTTCAAACTATCTAAGGTAAGTAATTGTGATCGTATTTTTACATTTTAATTTTAAATTACAATTTTCTTAATTTAAGACAACCGGCAAATTAATTGGTACCGAAAGGACGGTTCAAGGGTGCTAATCCTTCCTTGACCGTAACCGACTCCCGAACCCGACATATTTCTGGTAAAAACGCAGATAAGGTAAGATGGTGTCCGACCCACATAAATTCGTTTTAAAGTGGTCGGTGGCGACTCCTAACCCAATTATTTCAAGTCGAAGCCCAATTCGGGGCCCAACCAAAAGACGGTTACGACAGCTTGGCGACTCCACTGGGCACAGGTAAGTGAGTCAGGCTAAGGTAATTTCCAGTTGTCTTTTTAACTAAAATGGTAAGTTTAAATTTTAAGGTAATATTTCGATCATTTTTTACTTAATTTTGATTATATTTTCGGGTAAATAGTTGTACTAATCGTTTTCTCATGATTTCAGCCCTTAAATATTTTTTTCATCTAAGGCTCTAAACCCGAGCTCCAAACCAATTTTAAGTGGGGGTGAAAGCGACGCCTTCGTGTGAATTTATTCATCGTATGGGCCTAGCAAGTAGCCTTCGGGATTCATATACCTTATGTCTTCGTGTGAATTTATTCTCCGTATGGGCATAAGGAAATGTGTCATCTCGAGTTTAACTTAGTCCACACAATCCTATGTTGGGTTTAAGACTAAGGGTCTGGTAAGCCCAAGGGGGCGCCGACAAGGAGAACTCAGGTACCGTTTTCTATAACCTAAACCGGGAGATTACAGGGAATTAGAGCCCACCCCAAAATCACATTCCAAACCCTAGGCTGCTTTGTTTCATGCTTTACTTTCTGTTCAAAGCATGTGAACTAGAAATTTATGTGGTTAGGACTTGTTCAAAATCAACATGCGGGATAGAGATCATTTCCGGGTAGGAATACTAAGCATGTTCGGGTAGATATCATGTGGGTAGGACTTTTATTTTCATGATTGTTTTTTTACCTCACTAACTCTTTTTCATTTTTTCTCTTTTTCATTTCATTTTCATTATTTGTATCATTTAAAAGAGGTGTTGATCCACCAAAAACAAGTTCGTTAAACGTAAATAGTCTGCATTAATGGATAAATGGGTTGTAATACAATAGGTAAAAAACGTAGAGGTCCGATTATGGTCAGAAAAGACTCAGAAGGAAAAGGGAGATCTGCAAGGCAATTATGTGTCACATTCGATCAAGAAGACGTGGTGCCCACAATCAAGTACATCAAAAGTCAACTTTTCAAAAATGGGTTGACAAAGGTGGCAGGGGCAAGACGAGAAAAAGGTTACTGACCTCGAGAGTCCCTTCAAAGGCAACAAGAACAAGGTGACAAAACGATAGCTGAATTGGAAGCCATTGTCGACAAATTCAATGAACTTCAGATAATCCCTTTGATGGAGGATTTCAATGATGTTTCCGTTATAGAACAGGTTCAGCAAAGGATGAAAGCCAGAGATGTAGTCATTCGATACTTCTGGGGACAAGTACAAAAAATAGCTCGTCACTTGCACGATTTAGCCAGATAAGCCGGAGCGGTTCAGTAGGGTATTCGACCGGTGACAGACGAAGGCAGAAGACTAGTCAACTTGTTTCAAGGTCTAGAGGATTTAGTCTGGATGTACCTTTAAATATGTTTATTGTCTCTTAAAAGATAAAACACTTTTGTCCCAATAAAGATTATTTATAATAACAGACATATTTTTGGATCAATGCCTCGAACATTTCATGTATTTTTGCATTTTGCATCTACATTTCATTTTTTCAGCATTTTCATAAACATGAAATTTCTTCATGGAGAATTCGATGAAGTGGTTTTAACCACATGATAACACATGGAAGCAAGATTGTAACATCAAAAGAAAAAAACTGAAATCACAACGAATGAGCCCGATCAGCTGGTTGTACGACTAAGCCTGCCAGGATGATCTGAGAAAAGAGTCCACATAACCTAAGGGCTACGATGTTGAAGCTGTTTGTAGTTACCACATAGGATGCTCCATACATTCCTCTGAGAACTATAAGGCGCTGAAGTGCGAGATCCAAAACTTGATGGATTCAGGGGCATGAACAACCGAAGAAGGGGACATTGCATATATCATTTGCACTTAGAGGATTGTTTTGTTTGAACACGTCTTTGATCTTTCATGTTTGCTTAATCTTTTAAACGATTGAATTTATGCTACTTTCTAAGGTGGAGCAATTAGTTCTTCGAATATTAAATGAATTAAGGATTCTTTTAATTCTTCAAGAATTATAGATTTTTGACAGATGGCAAGATTAGACCTTTTTTATCCTGTCTCAAACCCCAAAATAAAATACCTTGATTCTTTACCCAAAATAACTGAGGGTCATTACCAAAAAGACCAAATTTTGACATTACCTCCATTTGAAACTTCTGAACATTGCCTTTATCTTTTGATACACCCATACCTTTCTTTGAGTCAAATAAAGTCACACCATTGTCTTTTTAGATTCAAAATTGACATTTTTATGCCATTAAAACCCAAGGAATTGAGTTGTTCATTTGAACATGAGTCTTGGGCATCTCGCAGGGAGCATGAACATTGAGACATGTTGGGGGCAAAAAGCAGAAAGAATAATTCACTCGGAATAATTCTACCATGCATTAATTGCACTGTTTTCATGTGAATAAAAATAATCCTGAAAATCTATCCCCTTTGGGATACCTCTTCTGTGAAAGCTTCCATGTATGAAATGATGAACGACTTTCTTTCTTTACCCCTTCACAACAGGAGAAAATATATATCCCTTGTGTCCCCTTTTGAGCCTATAGTATTTTTTTCTGATTCAACCCTAACCAAGGATCACCCTCCACACTGGGGGGCAAGGTGGAGAAAATCTGGTCGCATGAGTGAAGACATTGATTTAGATGAGATACCGAAAGGTGAACCAAATGCCAAGTGCGAAGATTCAATCAGAACAAAAAGAGAACAAAAAGAGAAAAAAAAAAAGCAAAGAGAAAATAAAAAGAGAAAAAACAAAGGAAAATTGAAGAAAAAAGAAGACAAGATGCATATGCAAAGATTCTCTCGATTCAAACTATGAGATTGATCAAGCAAAATCATTTCTAAATCTCTGAACCACTTCACTCGAAGATCATAGATCATCAAATGAGATTGATCAAGCACAATCATTTCTGAATCACTGAATCACTCCACTCAAAGATCATAGAGCATCAAGAGAGAGACACATACGAGCAGATTCAAATTCAGCAAGATATGATTGAAGACATCAGAATGAATTGATCCTTGGTTTAATCACCCTTAAACACTTGTTTGGGCCTATTTATCATTTTCTTTCATAACCATGAACCATGGCCTACATTACGTGCCTTAAAAGTCCATTCTAATCATACATGAAGTTCTTAACAGAAGAGACTATCTTCAGATTTCATCCCGCCCATCAGGATTAATCTTTATTTGCAAAAAATAGTGTAATTAATGCATGATAGAGAAAAATAACAAAAGGGGGTTCAAAACGTAAATTACGAATGACGTCTTGAAACCAAAGGAGGATTCAAGTTGAAAACCTGAAAAGGCGGCTCGAATACAAAAATTGGGCAGCTGAGGCGATCGCACAAATTCCTTGATAAGGCATCGCACAATCCGAGCTTGACCATGAAAGCTGAGAATCAGAGAACACTTCCAATAGAGGAGCATGCAAGATACCCCATCAAACCTTTGAGCATCAAATAAACAAACAATAACCTGAGACATTTTTATCATTTTCTTACTTAACCATTTCCCAAAAATAGATTTGATCTTGGCACGTGTCAAACGGCTATAATTTATTGAAGGATTAACAATGTAATTAATTCTTTGATATCCAATGAACTCCAGTTTTATGATTTGTCTCAATTGTAAAACCGTGAAAGGGGCAATATTTTCAAAACTTTTGGTTAAACATTTTTTGAAACTCTTTTTTGATATTTTCAAAACTTTGAAAATAAAAAAGAAAGAAAAATATTTTTTTTCAAAACAAGACAATCTCCGTAGAGTGGATCTTGGTAAATGACATGTGGCTCTCAAATACAAAACTCATGCTTAGAATCAATGCTAAATCAAGAAATCAGGAACAATGAGGGCATCTTTAAAGATTCAACATCAAATGTTGGGGTATTTTTTATATTTAACATTAAATGTTGGGGAATTTTTTTAGATTCAACATCGAATATTGGGGCATCTTTGGGAATTCAACATCCCGATGCAAATTATCAGACCTTTTGAAGGCATTTCCTCCATATGCAGGAACAAGCACACAAAGCACGAGACTCCATCCAGGGGATAAAACAGAACTAATTCATGTTACATGCATCTTAGACATACTTAAGAACATCGTATTTATCAAGTTTTCGCAGCTTTTAGAGTCAAGTGTCAACTTCAAGATGAAGGATGCTCGATTCAAAAGCACATGGTGGTTGCTCTACCTCACAGCGAAGGGGTGATTGTCTGACAACAAAACAACTTTCCAGTTTCAGTCAGAGTCAATTTCAACTTCACGGCGAAGGATATTGAACTCAAAGCGACACAATTCGCTCGAGAGTAGATTTCAACTTCACGACGAAAGATATCTAGCTCGAAGCCAAACTTCACAATAAAGGGGTCATCTACGGTTTCGACTTCACGGCGAAGGGAATCGCGTCCACCCGCTATATACAATACTTGGTGTAACACCCTC